TATAATAGCATAAGACGTTTCCCTCAACAATTAATATTACGATATCGTCGTACCGTTCCTCGATTTTGGCCTTTCAATAGTTAGTGTTTGTTTTACTTTCGTATTTTTAATTTTGGCACTTTCATTGGAGGTACCAAATAAACCAAAATAAAACTACAACCAAAATAACCCAATTTACGGTATACAATCTGTTAAAAATTATTGAAAATGAAGATTTTTATATACAAAAAAAAATTTGGAATGGTAGAACAATGAACCTATTAAAACAGAAAATGAAAAGACCAAAATGGACATAATTATATATAAACCTGAAGAGTTATTTGCTAAGCTGGGTAAAAAAATCCTGCATTTCCCAACCAATGATGCAAGTGTTCCCTATGTTGACGAATCAAAGCAAGGATATCCCTATAAATATCATTAAGACCATTCTGTAATATTTTGCATTCAAAATATACTTTATTTTATTATTTTATATTGGCAAGATTCACTTCCTTTCATACAAGTTAGTTTTGGTCACTACTTGTTTGAACTGACAAATTTCGGGAAAAATGTAGAGTCCTGTAAAGGGAGATAATTTTATAAAAAATCTGAAACAAAGACCCTTAATACTGATTTATTCTGAGATTTGTAACTCAGAAATTAGCTAAAATTTATATTATCTTCAGAGAGAGACAATTTGCACTACAGACAATATGACAAACTGCAATCTTTGAAATACATGTACTACGATATCGATCTATGCTTATTCTTTTAACATACATGTAAACATGAATATACATATATAGCCTGTAATTCAGTGGTTGGTGATTGTTGCTGTGTAAAATATTTAAATTGTTTTACATTTGTCATTTCAGGGCCTTTTATAGCTTACTATGCGGTATGGGCTTTGCTCATAGTTGAAGGTCATAGGATGACCTGTAGTTGTTAATTTCTGTATCATTTGGTCTCTTGTGGAGAGTTGTCTCATTGGCAATCATACTTTATCTTCTTATTTTTATACATACTATATGATGCAAAAATGGAAGTAAGGGTTATTTCCCTTACAACATGTTACGTATTTAATCACTCATTTTTAAGTATTTCAGGTCCACAAATCATTCATAGAGAAAAGCCTATCAAAAATGGACAGTAGACATTTGACATCAACGGCTAATCCAGGACTGACCACTGGGTACATCAGGTTCCCCAAGCGGGCAGCAGCTAAATCTAAATGTATCTACATTCAAGAATACTTAGAGAACCACACCAATACATCTATTACTGACATCAGATTTGTCATTCACTCTTCTGATCAAAGGACATTAAATGTATGTTTTATATATTCTTTATTAGATCACCTATACCACAGGTTCATGTGAACTATTGTCATCACTTAACATTCTTTTGTAATTGTAAACTGTAACAAATCATCTCTGTTAGGAAACCACTTGATAAATTTAAGCAAATGTTTATCAATACATGATTACTTTTACTTTTATCAACTTTAAGTGTTTTCAATTGGGGTATTAACTTGGAAACAGTAGTAGAAACTGTTGATAGAAAAATTGTATGAATCATTTCAATGGTCTTTAATAGTTTTCATATAAAAATAACAAGATGTTGTATGATTGCCAATGAGACAACTCCCCACAAGAGACCAAATGACACAGAAATTAACAACTATAAGTCAGTGTACGGCTTTCAACAATGAGTAACATCCGTACAACACAGTCAGCTATAATAGGTCCCGACTTGGAGACCTCATACCAATGTATTGACTATCGGATATTATCTCATATACATGATATACAAATAATCAATACCTGCCTGTTGATAACTTAGGGGTATCATATTATTGTACTGGCTTAAAGTGATGATCAGATATTTTGGTAATTTCCAGGCTTTTATTGCTGAAGTGAAGAGATGGAGATCTTTTATCAATCAATGTAAGTAAAATTTTACAGCTACAATAAAAGAAGACAACTGTTAAGATAGTGCTTTTTTAAAATTTTTGTTTTATCATTATTTTTATACGATTTTTCCCAATGGTATACTCATATCATTCTGAGTTTTCTTGTGTAATAATGTATGGAGAAGCAAACACCATCCTCTTGTATGATTATAACATTCTATCTCAAAAGAAAATATATTGCCATCTTTACAGTAAAAAAAAAGAAAATGGTGTATGATTTCCAATGAGACAATTCTCCACCAGAGACCAAGCGATGTAGACGTTTACAACTGTAGGTCACCATACAGCCTTTAACAATGAGCAGATCACATACTACATAGTAAGCTATAAAAGACCCTGAAATAACAATTGTAAAACAATTTAAACAAGAAAACTGACGTCTTGATTTACAGTACAAAGCAATAATGAAAAAGTAATATGATATGCAGCAACAATTGACAACCACTGAAATACAGGCTCCTGAAATTGAACAGGAACACAGAGAGTTTTATTATTAAAAGAAGGAATAAATTATTCCTTTAATGTATTAGTATTCTGTGACATTTCATTCCAGATTTTATGATGCATTTTAAAATATTTTTGAAATTCAAGTTTACTTTCTTCAATTATAGATAAATTTGCAGTGGGGTATGCCCCACACTTCTTTTATTTATATGAAAACATTATTACTTCTTAAAAACAGTATAATATTCTTTTTATTTTGGATTTCAGCTGTCCAGTGCAGAGATGTATTTACTACTCAGATAGGAAACACAAATGTCAATGTCAAAATAAACAAAATACAAGACCAAGTTGTGAGTATTCACACAGAAAATATCAACAATCAAAATAAGAAAAAAAAAAAAAAAAAAAAAAAAAAACACTGAGTCATTACAATTAAATTAAATGCATGATTTATGCTACTGAGAACCAATTATTTCCTTGTTGATAATTTTTTTCTTCTTTTTTTTTGAAAGAGTGGGCACCTATCTAGTAGACTACTTTAAATTCAGAATTCATTTTTTTAGCTTTGCTATGCACTATTTGGTAGACTCTGATTGAAACAATTAAATTTACATTTCATAACCACAAAGTTTGAACGACAATAATAGTCTCTAATCTTTTAAAATGAAGAAAAAAACGAATTTCTTGAATCTGATGATTTATAGATTGATTGATTGTTTGTGTTTTAATGCCACTTTTAGCACTTTTGGCTATATCGTTGTGGCCAGTTTTTATTGGTGGAGGAAAGCGGAGCGCCCTGGAAAGAACCAAGACCTTCGGCAGGATTTGAAGAAAAAAATGATATCCGAAAAAAATAGTATAATTTTATATGCCATAGATGCCTTTCATCTACAAATTAAAAGACCCATTTAGGCCATAAACGCCTTTCATCTACAAATTAAAAGACTCATCAGTGACGCACGAATGAAAAAAATTAATAGGCCAAAAAAGGTACAAGGTTGATGAGCATTTAGGACCGAAAATTCAGAAAGATTTTGCCAAATACAATTAAGGTAAAGAATGGTTTGTAGAAATGATGCACCATGTAGTTTCAGATATTAAAAGCTATGCATCTTTTTTTAATATGATATAAGAAGTAAATTAATATATTGAGTTCTATAATCAAAGGGGGATAACTCTAAGAAGAACTGAGATTTTCAGAATTTTACATTTGTTTTACAGGTTGATGTGATTGTGAACAGTGTCAATTCTCAGCTGAAGTTAGATAAAGGTTCCTTGTCTCATACACTGGTATCTGGTGGTAGCAATTCCTTACAGACAGAAAGCACAAACAAATATCCTAATGGTTTACAATTTGGACAAGTAGCAGTGACATCTGGTGGCAATTTAAAGTGTAAACAAGTCTACCATAGCTGTATAGGGGACTTTAAAATCAGGACAAGTCGGAATCGAAAAAGGTAAGAATAAGGACAAGACAAAATCTCAAAACATGAAAATATGTGGGACAAGAATAAAGAATAAATATTAGGAACAGGAACCAAAAAAGTAAACGTTTACTAACATATGAGCCAGTCCAATCGAAAAGGTACAAAAAGTCCTTTTGATAAACTTTACAGGACACGTTTAAGCTCGCTAAAATATTTTTGAAAAACGATTTTATCCGAAAAAATTGATACTAATGTAAACATTAATAAAATTGTCAATTCTGTCTCAAATTTGTCAGTTAAAATGGAAAAATACGTAGAAATATCTGAATTTTTGCACTTTAGCAAGCGTAAAATCATTTGTTACCGGGAACAATGCTATTCTGAACAGAAGTTAAACCATTTACAACTATATAGAGAGAAAAGGTCAACAATTTTCATCATCTCTACCTATGCCTAAAAAAATGAAGAAAAACAACAGTTTAACGGAAAGGAAAATGCAAAAACTATGTCATCTTGTGTTTTTGAAATTAAAGTTAAGTTAAGTTATTGAATATTATTTAAATCAACCGTCCTTGCGTGCGTTCATTTCGTGTGTGTTTAATTTTCGCTTTGTTTGCGGCACCTAAAGAAATGCGAAAATTTGACCCCGCACAAATTGTCCTCCCTATTCCTAGATTTGCAGCTGTTTTTTTAAAACGTTTCATTGATAAAACTGCTAATCATCGAGTTTATATAAAATTTATATGTAAACTCATTTAACCCTAAAGGTGAAATTACATTCTATATAAATTGGTCTTTTGTGTTGATTGAGATATCTGTTTTTATAACAATTAAATTGGTTAATCATACATGTCATACATTTTGACAACAATGAAGTCAGTGACATGTTCAACAATGTTAACTACCGACCTCTCTTAATTGTTGTCATAACCCAAACATTTTACATTTATTGTAAAACTAAATTATTTACACGAACATACTTTCAAAATGCTCTGTTATACCAGCACAAACTTGATTAAAAACTTCATTTTTTCCATGCTACAATGGACTTGATTTTAAATATTATAGAAGATCTCCGAATATGTGTATTTTATTTTGTAATACACGTATTTATATGTAATCGATTATCTGTCATTCATTCAAACTGATGTTGTTTACATCTTTAACAATACTGTTCTGTAACTCATTCATCATTTGTTCTTCATGGGATCATCATTTTATATTGTTTATGTTTCATTGCGTACATCACTTTATATGCTCCAGTTTTAGGAGTTTTATACAGGACAGTGTAGGAACCCATGTTACTTTCCCCTCTCTTCTGAGTGACGAAAACTGCTCAACAGGCCGTGTGCACAACTGCAAGGAACATTCAGCGGACACGTTGTCCAAAGGAACAATTCGTGGCTAACCACAGCGTGAGTTAAAACATTACAAATTATGTCTTTACATCAGCGATGAACTGTTTTAATATGTTTTCCTATGTTAAAAAGAAACTATGAACATTTAACCGTTCAAACTGTTCGTATCTGCTATTACACAATTTAATTCAGACAGAACCCGACGTGCAATGACGTGTGCAAGAATAATCATTTATTTATTATTATAAAGAACATTAACAGCTTTATATATCTACGAACTGTTTATCCATATTTTAATGGACTTTAACTATCATTGAACACATTGTAAAATTGTATTTATATTTGTATTTTCAGTTTTTCACCATTTGGATTGGTAGTGAAATAAAAGTCAGCTCCTGATTGTTTTATCTTTACATAAACCCAGTCTTCTTGGTTAAACTCGCTGGTCCGGCCAGTACAGTGAAAAAGTTACAACTTGCCTGTTGTTTTTCTTGGATAACGTACGCCACTCCACGACAGTCAGCAGACCCATAACGTAGTTTCAACGACAACGTTTCGTGCTAGTAAATTGACAACAACTTGTCTACACATCTCCTGATCAGGAAATACAACGGAGCATCGTTCGTAGCTGTTACCTTGACACTACGCAACACAGCTTGTGTTTTGGCAGCAAACAAACAACGTTGAGCCATCATGGATCCCAGTCAAGCGGAACAGCAAGAAGAGGTTCAACCCCCAGAGGGAGATGTCCCTGAAGAACTTATAGAGAATCCGTCTAATACCACACATTTAGATGAAAATCCCGAGACGAGGCGAGTACGAGACCTCGAGGAAAAAGGTAAAGGAGCTTTCACAGAAAAACGTGACAAGTTCTGTCAGGAACTAGAGGCCCTCTGGTCAGATGTAGAGTCCCGGTTATCGGAAGTCACCACGCCTCCTAACAAGATCCAGCAAATCTTGACAGCCCAGGATAACCTTGTTAAAGCCTGCACAAATTATCGTAGGCTCACAGATGAGTACCTGGACTTTCTGAAAAGGACCAGAACATTGGACAGTCAAAAAGACATAGACGCATGCAATCTCACATTGGATATTCGTCTGTCCAAAGTGGACCATGCCCTAGAAACATTGCACGAACATCGGCTCGACCTGACAAAGGCTAAATCTACTAAAACAAAGACCTCAAAAAGTAAGAAAACCTCACATAGTGGTAGCTCTAATGTGTCTGACATGTCAAGCCTAGCACGGAGGAAGCGTGCCAAAGCAGAGGCCGCTAAATCAAAAATAGCCTTTGTCGAACAACATGCACTTATCCTACAACAGGAGGCAATGTTAGAGGAACAAGCCCTGTTCAGACAAACTGAAATGGAACAGGAAGCCACACGCAAAAAGGCTAAAATGGAGCATGAAGCAGAGCAAGAGGCCATACGCAGGAAAGCACAAATTAAACAGGAGGCCGCACGTGTCAGCCGGGAAAAAACCGAGCTGAAAGCCAAGTTAAACCTTCTAGAAGCACAGAAAGAAGCTGCAGCCGCAGAAGCCGAGGCTCGTATCCTAGAGTACGATGACAGCCAAGCGCTAGACGATCTCCCTAAAGAGACGGAAGACCCGCTCCAACGTGTGCAAGACTTTGTTAATAAACATCCTGAACCAACCGCCATACAGGAAGCGACAGCCCCTCAACAGAAAAAACAAACGTCTGTTAAGTATGAGCTAAGTCATGAAGCGCCAGCGTTCGAGCCATCTGTGGCACTGAACTTGCCATCACAAACACCTGAGGTCTTGCCTACACATGCTAAGTCACCAGAAGTTAATGTATTCCCAGATCTGGGAACAATGACTGGCATAGGAAAACAAGGCGTTATAGAAGAGATCCCTGTTTCACACCAAAAACAAGGCGTAATAGAAGAGAACCCTGTTGCATACCAGCAACAAATCAATCCTACGTCGGAGATAACCAGATTTCTCCTACGCAAGGACCTGTTGTTCTCCCGGCTAACAAGCTTTAACGACCGGGCAGAATCCTTCCATACATGGAAAGCCAGCTTTAAAAACGTCATAGACGAATTACAAGTTTCGGACTCGGAACAGATAGACCTACTTATTAAATGGCTTGGACCAGATTCTGCCAAACATGCCATGAGTATAAGGGCATCAAATGCCAACAACCCAACAAGAGGCCTACAGAGACTATGGGAGAGACTTGACAACCGATATGGTGCTCCAGAAATGTTGGAGGCGTCTCTCGTTAACAAACTCGTCAACTTCCCAACACTGAGGAATAAGGACAACTCACTCCTTTACGATTTGTCAGATATTATCTCAGAAATAGAATATCACAAGGAAAATCCCAAGCTGGGATGTTTGCTTGCGTATTTCGACTCTTCATCCGGGATAAATCCTTAGTGGAAAAACTTCCATACGGACTCCAAGAAAAGTGGATAACAAGGGCTTCAAGATACAAGTCTAAATATGAAGTTGCATTTCCACCTTTCACAGAATTATCTGCCTTCATCAGGGAAATTAGCAAAATAAAGAACGATCCTGGGTTCATTTTTGGGTCAAGAGTCACACCAAGTACAAAAGGTGCTGCACCAAAGTTCACACCTCAAACATATTCTAAAGTCAATGTTCATAAGACAGCAAATGAACAGCAACCTGGAGACAGCAGTGAACAACAAAGTCTTTGCATTTTGCATAATACAAAGCATACCTTAAACGAATGCCGAGCGTTCCGTGCCAAATCAATAGAGGAACGCAAGGAACTGTTGAGGCAAAACAATCTTTGTTACAAATGCTGTGATTCGACTATGCACAGAAGTCGTGATTGCAAGGCAAGTATCAGTTGCAATGAATGCGGAAGTAAACAACACACCACCGCATTACACACAAATCGAGTGTACCAACCCAAAGGTGCACCGCCTTCACCGCCTATATCAGTCGACGGCGGGGAGCTAATTGATACATCCTACGGCGGGGAGCAACTTGAGTTAGCTGAAACCAAGCTAACCTCTGTTAGTTCAACTTGCACAGATATCTGTAAAGATGGCAACAGTAGTAAATCTTGTGCCAAGATACTCCCTGAGAATGTCTTTCACAAAAATAATCAGGACAAAGTAATTCGCATGTATGCAATTATTGACGACCAAAGCAACCGGTCTCTCGCTGCTCCTGAATTCTTCAGTCTATTCAACGTACAGGAAGAAACAAAAGACTATATGTTATCCACATGCTCCGGCAGCAAGGTTACTTCCGGAAAACGAGGAAACGGCTTTGTCGTAAAGTCTGTACAAGACAATACTAGATTCAATCTGCCTGAACTGATTGAATGCGATAACATTCCCAATAATCGGAACGAAATTGCTACAACTAAGGATATATTGCAATATCAACACTTGCAAGAACTACAAAAAAATATTCTTCCGATTGATGGAAAATGCAAAATCCTATTGCTCATTGGAAGAGACCTAATAGAGGCACATCACGTCCTTGATCAACGTCTAGGACCACCAAAGGCTCCATTTGCGCAAAAGTTAAACCTGGGTTGGATTATCGTTGGTGAAATACGCTCCGATAAGCAACATGTTCACCTTGAACTCACTACAAAGAAAACAAATCCAACTTGCAGTGTTGTGAAACCACATACAAAGAAATTACCTGAGTGTAATAAAACCAACACCCAGTCAAATGGAATTCGAACTGATTCGTTTAAACAATATCCCCGTTTACATGGGCAACCAAAAACGAAATCAGCGACTTCGATCGTCAAATTTGCAGAAGACGAAAAGTTCATTTCGGAAGCAACATCACCAAAAGTGAATGCCGACAAAGAAAAGTACATCCGAAAACATTCAATTCCCAAGGAAAGCTTTAATTTGCCTTTGGATACGCAAGGACAAGAGGAAAGTAGAATAGACAATTCGGACTTAAGTCACAGAGAAAAGGAACATGGCACCGGCTGGTCTACTGTATGCCGTAAACGTAAAGGAAAGCGTCCGTTTTGCAAGACGTTCCCGTTGGATCGCATATCTGTGTCGAAAGGAGATTCATCCATCAGAACTACAGCCATGAAATTGGATCTTAGATCGCCGCGATCTCGTCGGAAACACCACCTTATCTAGGAAAGAAGCTGTGAAATACCCAGCCTCCCGTTGGATTACTTCCAAGTTCATATAAGTGGAACTTTGGACGGCTGTTATATATTTAATATTTTATTTGTTTTAATAATGGAATAGTGATGTCAGATAGACCTCAGACGGGAAGTGTTATGTAACTCATTCATCATTTGTTCTTCATGGGATCATCATTTTATATTGTTTATGTTTCATTGCGTACATCACTTTATATGCTCCAGTTTTAGGAGTTTTATACAGGACAGTGTAGGAACCCATGTTACTTTCCCCTCTCTTCAGAGTGACGAAAACTGCTCAACAGGCCGTGTGCACAACTGCAAGGAACATTCAGCGGACACGTTGTCCAAAGGAACAATTCGTGGCTAACCACAGCGTGAGTTAAAACATTACAAATTATGTCTTTACATCAGCGATGAACTGTTTTAATATGTTTTCCTATGTTAAAAAGAAACTATGAACATTTAACCGTTCAAACTGTTCGTATCTGCTATTACACAATTTAATTCAGACAGAACCCGATGTGCAATGACGTGTGCAAGAATAATCATCTATTTATTATTATAAAGAACATTAACAGCTTTATATATTCACGAACTGTTAATCCATATTTTAATGGACTGTAATTATCATTGAACACATTGTAAAATTGTATTTATATTTGTATTTTCAGTTTTTCACCATTTGGATTGGTAGTGAAATAAAAGTCAGCTCCTGATTGTTTTATCTTTACATAAACCCAGTCTTCTTGGTTAAACTCGCTGGTCCGGCCAGTACAAATACAATACGGTGATTTTTTTGCGTGTATTTTCATGTTCAGCGAAAATAATACACAGCGAAAATTTAACTTGCTAATATTGTCATCAAATCGCGAAAAATGGCCAACACTAAAAAAACCCGATATACGGTATATGAAATAATTGAGCAAAATCTTTATAAAACAAGGGGGGCGGGGGGTCAGCACTAGAAGGTGTGTATAGTTTACAGCCTAAGGGTATAAGAAAAAGTAACGGTGCTTTACAGACCACAAGCCTGCTACCAATAATTATGCACACTTTTTAGAATTTAGTAATTTGTTTTGTTTTGTGCCTTTTTTGCATGGACTGGCTCATATGTAACTGTGAAATAGTATTCAAGTAATCAATCAGGATAAATCAATGTCCAATAGTCAGCCAATGTCCTATACATGTAGTTATCATTCAGCTTGTCTGTCTTTCCGTCCATCTATTCATTTGCCTTTTATGTGTTCTTCTGTCTGTCCAATGGTGCATCTTTCAGCACTATTATGTCTATAATTACAAGTTAAAATTTTATGCACTGCAGCACAATGTTAAATTTTCTGAAAGGAATTTGGTTTTTGTCGAGTCCGCGACTTCTGTCGCAGAAAGCTAGACATAGGGATAGTGATTTGACGGCGGTGTCCACAGCGCCGTTGATTAACTAAATAAAGGCTTTATATTTCAAAAGGCGGAAAACCTGGAAGCTTCATACTTTGTATATAGATGCCTTATGTAATGAGTTTTGGTCTGTCATATGCCCATTGTTCTTGACCTCATTTTCATGGTTAAGTGACTACTTTAAAAAAAGTTAAGCTTTTTTGTAAAGTTAATTTCCTTCTTATTATGAGTGAATGGATAAATATAATTAATATGTGCTTACCTTAGAAAGTCCTCGTGTCTGTCACACAGTTTTCATTTAACCTCGACCTCATATCATGGATCAGTGAACAAGATTAAGTTTTCGTGGTCAAGTCCATATCTCAGATACTATACGCAATAGGTCTACTATACTTGGTGTCTGGAATGATTGTAAGGTGTACATGTCCAACTGCCAGGTTTTATCTGACCTGGACCTCATTTTTATGGTTCAGTGGTTAAAGTTAAGTTTTTCGTTTTGGTCTTGGAAATGGAAACAGCTAGACATTTCTAAGGTATTTTCGTATGCTTCGACCAATATAAAAAATTCCTTCATGTTGTGCTTTATGCTCATTTAAACATGGGTAGGCATTATATTTGACCTTATTTTACACCTAACAGCGAGGTGTAAAATATGGTCAAATATTATGCCTACCATGTTGAATGAGCATAGAGCATGACATGAAGGAAATATTTCTTAAACAAAAGACAAAAGACAAGACACATACAGTAATTAAAAGCTGGTTTAAAGTTAAGCCTGTTAAACTAAATAAATATTGCCATGGAGCTTTTATCACATTTTTTTCCCTCAGCTATCCCTGGCATACATCAGTTTTTTTTGCGGGTGTTTAATTTTCGCTTTGTTCGCGGCAGCTCAAGAAAAAGAGATTGATTATCTGTCAAATGATAAAGTTAATGTTGTTTTCATTTCTAACAAAACTATAAAAAACTATAGACTGTGATTTTTTTCTCGGATGTTTTTTCCAATTCAGCGAAAAATTATACGTAATGAAAATTTAACCTGCCCATTTTATCATCAAAGTGCATAAAAAAGCCCCAACGTGAAAAAAACCAAATATACAGAATTTGTAGTTTAAACATAACACATGATAGACATATCACTGTGAGACATATCTATAAATAGAAAAAAAGAAGATGTGGTATGATTACCAATGAGACAACTCTTCACAAGAGACCAAAATGACATAGAAATTAACAAATATAGGTCATGGTACAGCCTTCAACAATGAGCAAAGCCCATACCGCATAGTCAGCTATAAAAGGCCCCGAAATGACAAATGTAAAACAATTCAAACGAGAAAACTAACGGCCTAATTTATGTACAAAAAAATGAGCGAAAAACAAATATGTAACACAGCAACAAACGGCAACCTCTGAATTACAGGCTCCTGACTTGGGACAGGCACATACATACAGAATGTGGTAGGGTTAAACATGTTAGCGGGATCCCAACCCTCACCTTAATCTGTGGTGAAACAGTACAAAATAAGAACGAACTATATAAATCAGTTTAAAAAGGATTAACTCGTCAGATGGATACAAATAGAAATATATCTAACAAAAACACAGAGTGGACGTGGCCGGGTTTGTTTTAGGTTTAATAAAGGTTTTATTTTCAGTCTATTCAAGAAATGGTGAAGACCTGTTTAGAGACAGCAGACACACCAACAATATGACGTCCATTGAATTTCCATGCCTTGGTACAAGGTACAGACATTACCCAGCCCAGCTGTCTGCCGACGCAATATTTGATGGTATACGTGACTTCACAGCTAACAATGTGTCATCATCTGTATCATCTGTTATCATTGTAGTGTATGGTTCTCATTGTGAAACAGTTGCAATGGTATTTCTCCTATATCATGAATTGATTTAGCTGAGCTTTAATTCTATGAAATTATACCCTGCTCTAGCTCTAAAAGGGGAGGGGGATTAACATATAGATTATTAGATTCTACAAACTGATATCATGAGATATCAGCAGCTAGCCTAGCCACAATTTGAACCTTTTTGGAGAGAACTACTGGTCTTTATTCCCCCTAGACAGTTTTACATTTTTCAAAGGGAAGCTTGATAACCTCTCTTCACACAATATAAGGTCAGCGATAAATTCTTGTCAGACATTGTGACCTTTCAAGTCTCAAAGCCTTGATATTAGAATTACAGAGCGTCTGAACAGGATAATATAGGGGTAGGAAAGGATGGTAATAATTTACCTTTGTCAGTCTATAGGTACATCTGTAAAACATTTCTGTCCCATTTTTCTTTGCAAGTGCACCTAGTAGATATAACAACCCTCCATTAGTCATAAAAGACTGTAACTAATTAAAATAACTGATTTCTTTTGAATATTTTGCTGCAATGGAAAACTAAACGATGACTACCATTTTATGTTCACAACATTTATTTTATGATCATATCAAATTTGCAATTTGGCATTTATAGTTATCTTGAAAAATATAATAAAAACAGAAAAACTTTAAATAGCAAAAAATGATCTGCAAGACAAAATCTACAAATACGTCATCATCATGGCAAATGTCGTCAGAATATTTCTTATTGGAGTTATTGCCCCTTAAAGACGATTCTCACTTATTTTCTGTTCTATCCTAATTATATTTTAGGATTACTTTTGTTTTGATGTTCATAATAGGGATCGGATGAATCGTTTTTCCACAAGTTTTAATAGCTTGTCTATTTATGTCTTTTATAGATTTATTTTATTGTTTGGTTGCCCTTTAGTTAATTTTTCATTATACAAGTATTTTTTTTATAATTCATTGTTACTTTTGTAGGCTCTTCAAGCAAAAGGAAATTCCAATGCTACAGGGGACCAATCAGTTGTTAAGGGAACAAAAGAGTTCTGTTCAATGATGTATCAAGCAGAATTATATCCCCCTAAAACTTGAAACATTTGACTTTTCTACACTTTACACAAGTATTCCCCATTCCAAACTAAAAGACAAATTGAAAGAGTTGGTATTACTTTGTTTCATTAAAAAGAATGGCGAACGTAGATATAAGTATCTTGTCTTGGGGAGGGATAAATCCTACTTTGTAAAGAATCACTCTGATTCAAACAAAAAATTCTCTGAAACTGACATTATCAAGATGCTTGATTTCTTGATTGACAACATATTTGTTACGTTTGCAGGACGTGTTTTTCAACAGACTGTCGAAATTCCAATGGGAACCAATTGTGCCCCTCTTCTTGCCGACTTGTTTCTTTATTATTATGAGGCTGACTTCATACAGGAACTTCTTAGGAAGAAAGATAAGAAGTTAGCAATATCCTTTAACTCTACGTTCCGCTATATAGATGATGTTCTCTCACTAAATAATACAAAATTTGGTGACTATGTTGAACGAATCTATCCCATCGAACTAGAGATAAAGGATACTACAGATACAGTTAAGTCTGCCTCATATCATGACTTACATCTAGAAATTGACAATGATGGTCGGTTGAAAACAAAACTTTATGACAAAAGAGATGATTTCAGCTTCCCAATAGTGAACTTTCCATTTCTATGTAGCAACATTCCAGCAGCGCCTGCATACGGAGTATATATCTCCCAATTGATACGATATTCCCGGGCTTGTGTTTCCTATCATGATTTCCTTGATAGAGGATTGCTGCTCACAAGGAAGCTATTAAGCCAAGAGTTCCAAATGGTGAAGTTGAAATCATCCCTTCGTAAATTTTACGGACGCCATCACGAGTTGGTTGACCGTTATGGAATAACCGTTTCACAGATGATATCGGATATGTTCCTTATGTCGTAACTACAATACCCTTCCCTTTTCACGAATGTGACTTACCGAATTAGACTATTTACCGGATTTGTAATAACATAAGCAACACGACGGGTGCCACATGTGGAGCAGGATCTGCTTACCCTTCCGGAGCACCTGAGATCACCCCAGTTTTTGGTGGGGTTCGTGTTGCTTAGTCTTTAGTTTTCTATGTTGTGTCATCTGTACTATTATTTATCTGTTTGTCTTTTTATTTTTGGCCATGGCGTTGTCAGTTTGTTTTCGATCTATGAGTTTGACTGTCCCTCTGGTATCTTTCGTCCTTCTTTTGGACCCATTACAGTTCATTAAAGTCAGTAAAGCAGTGGAAAAGTAGTAGACCTGAGAATGGGAAGTATTTTAAACTAAATTAATTGAAATTCATCCAACGGACAATGTTTACCAAGCCATTGAAAGTTTGGTTCAGGACACATGGGAAAGTGGTAAAGTAGGTCATGGTCATGCAGCAGGCCTTGAAGGTCACACAA